TGCAAAGGATGACCCACATGGAGCTACCACCTTGCAGGTGCCATGGGTATGGTGGCATGCTATGCCATGGGAAGCGTGGGACATCTCTTCTGCTTAGTCACCCCACCTGGCTGGGCTGATGCTGTGCCCCAGGATCACCCCAGCCCCAGAACTTCTCCCCAAAGGACACACCCTCAACCGGCAAGTCAGGCAAGCCCCGCCCTGAGCAGAAGGCCATCCAAGGAGCACCAGTGAGGAGCTGCCTTGTCAGTCAGGACGGGGAAAAGAGAGAAAAGTCTTTCAACACACAGTGCATGGTGAAACTGTGGAACCCACTCCCACTGGAAGCAGTGATGGCCACCGACTAGGATGGCTTTAAAGAGGGTAAAGCAAATTAATGGAGGAGGAGAGGGCTATTGATGGCTACTAGCCAGGATGGCTATGCTCTGCTTCCATGGTCAGAGGCAGCACTGCTTCTGAATACCAGTTTCTGGAAGCCACAGGAGGGGAGAGTGTTGCTCTTGTGCTCTGCTTAGGGGCTTCCCATTGGGGCATGCGGTTGGTCACTGTGAGACTAGGTGGGTCCAGCAGCCAGGCTCTTCTTATGGAACCTCCAGGGGCAGGGGCACGCTATCTAGATTCCTAAGTTCTTTGGGGTATTTGGCCACTGTGAGAGCAGAATGCTGGACTAAGTGGACTACTGGCCTGACTAGGTGGACTACTGGCTCTTCTTAGGTGGTCTGCCAGTAGGTGGGGATGGGGCCCTTCCATGGCTGCCATTTGATGTCTTTCCCCGCTCTGCCCGGACCCTTGGCTGGCCTCGCTCTGTCAACATTTCAGCTCCGTGTCACTGGGGCGCTCCTGTCTTTGCAAGAGGGTGTCTGTTACGCTCCGCGGCTCCCTTCAGGGTTGTGACATTTGCGGTTTCTTCCTTCTGTCTTCCTTTGCCTCCACATGCTGCAGGAAGTGCCACCCGGGAGGCCCAACCCTTTCAGAATTGCATGTTTATGTCTTCCCTGGCATGGATAAAAAAAAAAGGTCTTTATTTTTGAATAGCGAAATGAGCGGGTGTCAAGATGGGAGAACCACAAGCATTTCTCCTGTCCTTGGTTAGCGGAGCAGAACAAAATGGGGGGGGGAGAGAAGAGGAGATTTGTCCCCACAAGGAAATAAGAAGACAAGGAGCAAAAGGCCCTCAGTTTCCCATCTAGCTTCTTGGAAGAGGCACACCAGCCCACACCAGTTTGGCACGAGGCAGGAAGGAGTCTTGGTGGATTGGGAGGAGGCTAAGGAGATGGCGAGGCTACAAGAGAAACCCATTTCCACTCCAGTACGTGGACGATCTGAGTCTTCCTGGACTCCAACATGAGTGAATCCCCCTTGAAAATGCAAACAGTGCCCAGTCTCCCTCCAGCCACCACTTCAACCTGCTGGGTCAGACCAGGGGGCCCCACCCTGTTCTCAGTTCCTGACTGGATGCCCCAAAAGCGAAACTAGCCAGCACAAGAGCCCTCGCCCTTCCTGTGGTTTCCAGCAACTGGAATTAGGCAGTGTTATTGCCTCCGACAGTGGAGGCACAGCAGAGCCATTGGGGCTAGTAGCCATCTCTCCTCCTCCATGAATTTGTCTGATCCTCTTAGAAAGCCATCCAAGTTGGTGGCCATCACTGCCTCCTGTGGGAGAGAGTCCCATATTTTAACTATGATGGGGCGCGGGTGGCACTGTGGGTTAAACCACATAGCCTAGGACTTGCCGCTCAGAAGGTCGGCAGTTTGAATCCCCGTGACGGGGTGAGCTCCCGTTGCTCAGTCCCAGCTCCTGCCCACCTAGCAGTTCGAAAGCACGTCAAAGTGCAAGTAGATAAATAGGTACCACTCTGGAGGGAAGGTAAACGGCGTTTCCGTGCGCTGCTCTGGTTCGCCAGAAGCAGCTTAGTCATGCTGGCCACATGACCTGGAAGCTGTACGCCGGCTCCCTCGGCCAATAAAGCGAGATGAGCACCGCAACCCCAGAGTCGGCCACGACTGGACCTAATGGTCAGGGGTCCCTTTACCTTTACCTTGCAAAGGTCTTCCTTTTTGCTGTCCTGACCAGCAAGGCAACTCTTCACTGCAGCTCCAGCTGCTGAAGCAGAGCAGAGCCCTTGTGGCTAGTAGCCCTCAATAGTCATCTCTCTCTCTGTGGGGTGGGGGGGCTGTAAAAGGGGAGTGTGGGCGAAATGTGAAGAGCCTGGCTTTCCATCCCATTCCTGCCATTGGCCCCCTCCGTCCTCTCCCTTGCGCCTGGGCAGAGGCCTGTCCACCCGTCCCCACAATGCTGTAGCCTCCATCTGGTGAAGAGGCTGCAGCAGATGGATATAACTGGCAGGTTCTATTTTTAGCCAGGTGCAGCGCAAAGCCCAGGCCCTGGACTCTTCGGAGCGTAATGTGTGAATGAGAAGATGGTGTGTTCTCCCAAAGGCTGGGCTGGGGGCGGGGGCTTTAGTTTCCTGGTGCTAACCAGGCATTTGCTGTTGCGCTGAAAGGCATGGGCATTTCCCCAGCCCAGGGAGGGAGGGAGAGGAACATAGATTGCTTGTTGCCTTTCATTCTATTCAGACCATCAGGGTTCATCTAGCTCAGTACTGGTTACACTGACCGGCAGCAGCAACTCTGCAGGGTCTCCAGCTGGGTTCTCTGCCAGTCTGACCTGGAGATTCCAGCTTCAGGGACCTTCTGCATGCAAGGCAGGTGCTCGGCCGCTGACCCTTCCAATGCAAAAGGAGCGCTTTATTTTGAGTGAGGCCACTGGCCTTTTTCTCCAGCAGCAGCTCCCACGGGGCCCTTCCAGGCCAATGACTCTCCAGATGCACAGCTTTTAATTTGGCAGCAGCTGCTGCTGCAGTATCTCTTCCAGGGACCCTGATTTTTCTTTTCTGTGGAGCCTTTTCTGATGCTGGGACGATGGTTTTAATCCCTGTTAGCAGAGAAGATAGGAGACTGCTGGATCAGGCCAGTGGCCCCTCTAGTCTAACATCCTGTTCTCACAATGGCCAACCAGAGGGTCAACCCTCCAGCAAGATCTGAGTACAAGAGCAATTTCCCCACCTTGAGGTTTCCAGCAATTGGTATTCAGAAGCATTTACTGAATCTCTGTGGAGGCAGAGTGGAGCCATCACGGTTAGCAGCCACTGGTAGTAGCCACTGATTTGTCCAAACCTCTTTGAAAGTCATCCAAGTTGATGGTCCCTAACAGATTCGCCCACAGCCTACAGCAGCTGTGATGGTAGTCAGTATGGAAGGCACAGTGGGATGTGTGTGTGTGTGTGTTGGGCATGGCAGCTGCCCCAAGCAGGGAGATGTGCAGAGGAGGAAGGGGGCAGCATTTGGGGGAAGGGCTGCAGCTAAGGACTAGAGCATCAGCCAAAATTCAAGTCCTGGAATCTCCAGGTATGGCTGGGAGACACTCGTGCATGGAACCCTGGAAAGCCGTTGCTGCCAGTCAGTGTAGACAGCTGGCTCCTTACCTCTCTTGCCACTGTGATCCATGCGACGGTCACCTCCAGACTTGACTACTGCAACTCACTCTATGTGGGGCTGCCCTTGAGACTGACCCAGAAACTCCAGCAGGTGCAGAATGTCGCGGCGAGACTCCTTACGGGGTCCTCGCCGCGGGATCACATTCAGTGCTATACCAGCTGCACTGGCTCCCAGTGGAGTACAGGATTAGGTTTAAGGTGCTGGTGCTAACCTTTAAAGCCCAATACGACCTAGGACCCTCGTACCCACGGGACTGCCTCTTCTGGTATGTCCCACGGAGGACCTTATGGTATTCAAATAAAAACATATTGGAGATCCCGGGCCACAGGGAGGTTAGCCTGGCCTCAACCAGAGCCAGGGCTTTTTCAGCTGTGGCCCCAATCTGGTGGAACGCTCTGTCACAAGAGACTAGGGCCCTGCGGGACTTGACATCTTTCTGCAGGGCCAGCAAGACAGAGCTGTTCCACCAGGCCTTTGGCCAAGGCACAGTCTCCTTCTGTAATCCTCATAGAACTCTAGCCCAATGGTTGCCATTCATTTGACTCTGAATTGATTTTAGAATGAATTGATTTTAGAATGTATTTCAATTAATTGATTGTGATTTTATGTAAACTGTGTTGTTGTTACTGTTGTTAGCCGCTCTGAGCCCTGCTTCGGCTGGGGAGGGCAGGATGTAAATAAAATTTTATAATTATTATTACTGAGCTAGATGGGAAACTGGTTTGACTCAGTATAGCAGCTTCCTATGTTCCAGCTCATGGGGGTGGGGGGAGGCAGGAGGCAGCTGCTGTCAAGCCCGTTTTCCAGTGAGGTTGGACCTCGATGCTACCTCAATGGCACCAGGTCGAGGGGTGGTGGGGTCTTTGTGGGAGGGAGAGCGACATCTCTTTCCCAGATAGCTGCTGCTGCGGAGACGCCTTCTCCTCCTTTGGCAAAGGTGTGGCAGATGGAGACCTGCCTCAGTTTCCCTGGCAGAAGGAAGCTGGAACGCCCGACGCAATTTTTGAGAGTGGGGAGGTGAAAGAGGGGGATAAAAAGTCATTTCCGGAACGACGGGGCGTGGGAGGGGGCTGTCTTGTCCTCCGCCCACTGGGCCAAGCAGTAGGAAAGGGGTGCACGTGCTTGGGGGAGGCCTGCACTGCTGATTCCTCGCACCGAGTTCCACCTGTCAGGGATTCTTGAGCTGAGATTCCTGCATTGAAGGGGTTGGACTAGATGAGCCTTGGGGGTCCCTTCCAACTCTACAATTCTATGAGAAACGGCAGGAGCTCCCACCCCCTTGCGCTTTACACGCTGGATTGAGAGCCGGGAATGGGGGATTAGTGGAACCTCACCCACCCGCCAAGTTTCTACCCCAGCTCCAGGCACAGCAGGAGCGGGGTATGTGTGTTTCCTCGAAGACAGTTGACCCCCCCCGCCCCCCGCCACACGCTGCCAATTGGCTGCGGCGCCTTTAAATACGGAGGCGGCGGGAGGGGGGGGGGAAGAGCACGGCGGCGGCGGCGGCGCCTCTCCTCCTTCTCCAACCCGGGCGAGGAGCGCGACGCAGCTCCAGCGCTAGAGAGCGGAGGGAGGCCGGAGGCGATGGCGACAGACCCGCCGCAGCCGCGCCCAGGTGAGCTGCCACCGCATGGCCCAAAACGGAGGGAGGGGGAGCCTGCTATGGTGGAGCGGCTCCTGAGCACGTGCAGAGCGCGGCGAGCCAGGGTAGGCGCCCGACTTGACCTTCTGCATACCTGGAGCCCACCGCACCCGCAAGCGGGTCCCGTTTGCAAACCAGGCGGCGCCCTTGAACAGGGGAGGGGGAAGAGCGCCCTGATGGAGCGAGGACGCCAAACATGTGCAGAGGGTCTTCTCTGGAATCGCAGTGAGCTTGGACTCCTCCCTCCTTTAGCCATTGACAGAAATGGTGATTGCTGCTGCTGCTGCTGCTGCGTCTCTCTCTCCCCCCTCGTAAAATACCCCACCATCCTGGCTGCATCAAGCGCTCTCGGGCCGCCATCTCCGCCCCTCATCGCTTCTCCGCCCCCAGGTTCCTTCAGCCCCACGTTGTCTCTACCCCTTGCCGAGCTCTCGTGGAGGGGGGAGTCATAGGAGCCAACTCCCAGGGGCCGAGGTCCCTTCGCTCCCCACCCTAAAATATTTGAGGGGGCCGGCCCTCCCCCAAGTTACTGGGCATTACCATTCAAATAGTGTGGGTGCACCCCGTCATGTGATCAATTATTTTATGCAAGTTGGCACCCCTGGTGGGAGTCTTCTGGAGCACCCACCGCGAATCTCCGGGAAAGAAGGCTAGACTAGCAGCAGCAGCCCCGGCACGACGCCGGGCTCTCGCCAGCAGCCTTTACTCGTTTTCCAGCCTTTGCGGGAGTCGCTCTTCCCCACAGCAGTAAAAGCGGTTTTTTACTCTACCAATCCCCCTATCTCCATTTGGAGGGCCAAAGGAGAGGCTTTCCCCGCTGCGTTCTCGCTTTGGGGCCAACTTCGAGTTTCTGCTTGGTGACAGCAGGGCTTGCCCCGCGGAACTCCCTGCTCCGTGAAGTTAGGCAGATTACAGACGTTATATTTGCAAAAGGCGCTGACTCTTTGGCCCATATCTGTTCAGGACAGCTTTTACCTGATATGGTTTTATCCTTCCTTGAATGCTGCTGTGGTATTATTGTGCTGCTTAGCGGTGTATAAATACTTCCGACGTCTTTTCTGCTCTCCCCTCCCCCACGGGTTGCAAAATGCCCTTGTGGGGCTGACCCCCCCCCTCCCCCTGCTCCTGGAATGACCGAGGCTTGACTCTTCCTAAGCAGACAGGGAGCAAGCTGGCGGGTGTGTGGCGGAAGACCTGTGGTTCTGGCAGTTGCAAGGCGACTTCCTGACACTGTTGTGGGTGCACTGCTGTCCAACGTTTGGAGCCAGGAGGCCACTGTCCACGGTGGGGCTGCGAGGATAAGGCACCTATCCAGGCTAGCACGGTGTGGTCTGCCTGCCTGGGCCGAGAGGGCTACTTGCCACTCTGGGCCACAGCTTGCCAGGACTGCTCTGAGTCTGCCTTGGGCCAGTATCTCCCCAAAGCTCTGGAGAGATGTCTTCCTCTGTTGCGTCCCGTCCATTCTGCTGCTGTTCTGTAGCCTGAGCAGAGGAAATGTTCCAGCGAGTGTGGAAGGAAGGAAGGAAGGAAGCCTGCGCTGGCAGGTCTCTAAGTCTCCTCAATTCCACCCGCCTGATGCAAAGTCTAATTGGGGATGGGGGTGGTTTGTAGATGCATAATGGCTACGTGCTTCTCTGAGCGCTGGAGAAGTTCTAGCCGTCGCGCCCCTGCTGGGTTTGGCCTCCTCTGGACGAAAGCGGAGGGGGAAGTCAGGCTATCTTTATAACAGCTGAGCACGGAGGAGGCAAATCCCTCAGCAGGCAGAGGCCCCACTGAGAACCCCCCTCGCCCGCACCCCACGGCTTTCCAACAGGTCTCTGTCTCTCCACAAATTCAGGCTATGAAACTGGCTCACGTCTGGAGCTGGGGCGGGGCGGGGGTCACTTCCCAAACCCCTGGTGGATCCTCCTTTCGAAAAAGCAGAGGGTGGGTGGGGAGAGATTCCTCCTGCCAAGGATCCTTCCTCCTCCTTTGGCTTGCTGAGCTCACATCCACCAGTCGCCCTTCCAGAGATCAAGATGGCCAGGGTCGTAAAAGGTAGTGTTGGTTCCTAGCTGAGCATCCCAAAATAAGAAGCTGGGTTTGCAAGCGTTTCTGCTTAGAGGGGAATCTGGGGACCCTTTCAGCTATGTCTCCTGCTGCTATTCTCCACCCCCCCACCTCTGTCACAGGAGATACTGGATGGGCAGTTCAGCCATGCAGGCATCCTGCTATGGAAGGAGCCCCATGGACAAGGCTGAGCTGTGGCCCTGGAGCACAATGCAAAGGATGTGGTTCCCAAAGTGTGTGGTTACATCCCACCTACCCGCCCCCTGGAAGGGGGAGAATGGGATTACCTGGGAGGGTGCCTGGAGGGCACTGGAGGTGTCAGTGCCTATCAGACTTGAAAAGCTGGTATCACTTTGCAGTTGCTGAATTGATTAAACTAAATGGTTTTAATTGGCTTTTGAATGAATGTGCAATTAATTGTTACTCTTTCAAATGTTATTGCATTGCTGTCTTTCTCGGTGGGGTATGCAGACTTTTGAGTAATGTTTCTTATAAGGCAGTGGGCAGGAGTTTAGGGAAGCAAGGGGGCAGTGGGATGAGAAAGGGGTCAGTTGTGTTGGTGCAAGGAGGTCTGCTTCCCACTCTGTTGCCAGAACTTTACTCTGTCTCTCTGGTTCATCTCTGAGCAGCTGCTGTTTCACGCTAAGGGCTTCCTCCGTCTTCCATCTCATTTTTTGCACCCTAAGTGTACAATCACCATTCGCTGTCAGTTATAGGATGTCCCTGCGTCATTCCTTTGAAGAACCACATTTGTAGCAAAGAGATGGCCTTTTTCACACACACACCCTCTTTGTTTTTCGGCTGCAGGGGAGGATGCCCCCGCCTCCTCCAGCCGTTGCTTTCATGGGGATTGAGCCAACTGGTGTAGGATGAGTGTGCAAGTGTGTCAGGCTACCTGATGATTCTGGGAGCATCATGAGGCCAGGCCGTTGCGGCTGCAGCAGATGGCTTCAGGAGGGCAGGTCCTGATGCAGGGGATTCCAACCGCAAGGAAAGGAATTTGGACTCAAGTTGTTTGATGCAGGATCTGGGAGGGTTAGTGGGTGCTCCTTAGAGGTTCATCATCAGAGGCTGGCTGGCCATCTCCTCTCCAGGATGCTATAGTAGTGGGTGCATTTCCTGTGCTGCCCAGGGGTTGATCTGGATGACCTTTGAGGGGCCTTCCAACACTGTAATTCTATTGTATTTTTAGAAAGCATTTCTTGTTCATGCCATTAGAGGTCAAGAGCTTAGTCTGTGCTCATCTGCCTTGCAAAACAAGAAAAGTGGGGGTGGACATCTTCCTCATTTTAGTAAACGTTTTCTTTCTTTCTCTTTTTCTTTTAACTAGCTGTCTCCTCCTCCTTGATTCTTGTTTCAAAGGGGGAAGAACAGCTCCTGGGCGAAAGTGCAAAGGAGAAAAAAGCATGCCACATTTTGACTTTGCCGGGATTTCTGGCGAGCCTCTGCCTGGATCCTTGTTGTGGGCTTTCAGGAAGGCAGCTAAGGGGAGCCTCTTTACATAATGTGGCTTTTATTTTATTTTTTGCTCCAAGGGTTTTGCTTTGACCTCGCAGAACAGGAAATACCGCTTGTGCTCCAAACTTTCCTAGGAGGAACAGGAAGGCGGAATCTGCCTGGGCAAAGGAGGGTGGTTGGCTCCTGCCTTTGGGATGGCAGCAGCAGGGAGAAAGTGTGTGTGTGTGTGTGTGTGTTGGGCGAGGGGGGGGGGAGAGAGACGACTCAATCTGTTTTCTGTTAATTTGGATGGAAATGAATTCTTCCTCCAGTAATTGACTGCTAATAGGATTGGACTTGGAAAGCTATTGATGGCTAGATGGCTATGCGGTGCCTCCACAGGCAGCAATGCTCCTGAACACCAGTTGCTGGAAACCACCGGAGGGGAGAATTGGGCTTGCGCTCAGGTCCTGTTTGCGGGTTTCCCCATAACTGGAATCCGGTTGGCCACTGTGAGAACAGGATGCTGAATTAGATAGCACCCCTTTCGCCTGATCCAGCAGGATCTTCTTATGTTCTTAAGCTGCACCAGTCGACCCTAGGTGAAGTCTGCTGAGCCACTGGCCACAAACCCTTAACCAGAATAAAGGGGTCATTTCCCTCTGACTGGTCAACACAGATGAGTTTCTACCCGATGAAGAGAGGCAAGAGGGGGAAAGGGGGAAAGAGCAGCAGCCCCTATCTCCAAAGACAGACCCCAGACAGCATTCCACTTCCCTTTAGACAGGCAGGTAAGGATGGGTGCTTGCAGCTCAAAGGAAGCTCTGCAGTTCTGCCCCTGAGTGCGACCGACCTGCAGTGATGTACAAACAAACCATCTTCTTCCCAACCTGCTGTATCCAACTCCGTCACAGGCAAATGCACTCAAAATCTTAAGGACATGAGCAGAGCTTGCTGGATTAGGCCGGTGGCCCAGCATCCTGTTCTCACAGTGCCCACCACCCCCAGATGGCTCTCAGGGGTAGTCTGCAAGCAGCACCTGAGCACAAAAGCCCTTTCCCCTCCTCCACTCTCCAGCTTTTCTCTAGTGTGGATAGAGAAAAACGCTCCTCCCTCTCTCATCGCACCAGAAATTGCGGGCATCCCATAAAACTGGGCATTGGAAGATTCAGGACAAGAAAGAAGAAAGCCTTTCCTCACGCAGAGCAGAGTTGAACTGTGGAACTCCCTCCCACAGGAGGCAGTGTGATGGCCACCAACTTGGATGGCTTTGAAAGAGGGTTAGACCAGGGCTGGCCCAAGGCATTTTGGCACCACACAACGATGCTCCTCTAAAACGGCCAGGGAAGAAGGCAGGGTGGAGATCTACACCAGGAACAAGAGTGGCAGGTAAAGATTCTCAGAAATAGGTGGTGGGAGGAGACTAACAGGGCCTCCTATTCACAGATGGGCTGCTGAGAAGGCAAGGTGTGTGTGGCCACTAGCAC